ATTCTAGAATTGTCCTTTTTCCCAGTGTCTGTGAAGTACAGCAGATGTAAACGGATTTCACAACAAAAGTTGTGCATGTAAATAGCCACTTCCTCACTCGATTCTACCACAGATTCTGATCAGCTGTGTGTTGCAGAGATGCAGCGACTGCAGGAGCAGGTGAAGAAGCTCCAGGCGGATGCAGCGGACGAGGGCCGGAGACGAGCACAAGCTGATACTCTGGAGCTGAAGGTAGCCAATCTGGAAGAGGAACTACAGGCAGCTCAAAGGCAGTGTGACCAGGTAAACAAGTACACACACACTCACAGGTGCAGATCAGAAACGCTTTGCCTCTGGCAGAATCTCACAGCCACTCTCTCTCAGGCTATCCAGAAGAGAGACGCCCTACTGAGACAGTCCGAGGCTGATCTTCTGCAAGCGCGGGAGAAGATCCGAAGCAGGGCGGCAGAGGCTCGAGGGCTGGAAGCTGATCTGCAGAGAGCCAAGAAAGAGAAAAGGCAGAGGGAGAAAGAGTGTGTATCACTCAAAACACAGCTGCTTCAGCTCAGAGAACAACTGAAGGAGGCTCACACCACTTGCAGAGACACGGGTAACAGTGCAACACCACATGGTGGACGGCCACGATGTGAATTATTGTAAATATATGCTTTATTGATATCTTCGAAAGATTCTTACCTGAAACTGCAAATGCAGCAGCCCCGAAAAGTTCTAAAGCCATCCTTAAAATGAATCCAAGTGGCAATCATTTTAATCTCATGCAAAACAGTTCACAAAAAAAGTGACTGATTTACTGTCCTGACACTTTCGTGTTGCCATACGCTACTGGAGTGTGTTTATAGTTTATGTCATGAACTACACATGTGGTCTCTCTACTAAAACCACCATGGCACCAGTTGATTAATAGTTATTAATAAAAAGGCTAAAAAAGGTCAAGTTTTTACTGAAAAAGCTTGTTTGTTTACAAGTGCCACTTGGATTTTTTTCATAGATTAAGTGCAACTTAAAGGGATAGTCGGGCCTACTCAAAAAATGACAATTCTGTTATTAATTACTCGCTCTCATGTTGTTCCAAACCCATAAGATATTTTATCTGAGAGATTGAAAAAGACACAATAAAAGTAATCCAAATGAATCGAGTGCTTGAATCCAAGTCTTATGAATAGACACGATTGCTTTATATGAAAAACAAATGCAATACATACAAAATTGTCAAATATTGGAAACAGAAGCTCAGAAGTGCTTGCTTATCAACCATGAAAATTCATGCTGGTACAATTTGGTCATTTAAGCAGGACAATGATTTTTCTCTTGATTTTGCAAGAGAAAAGCAATTGCATTTAAATCTGTGTGATAGTGCACGTGGGTTTGTCTGAGTGTGTGTGTGTGCACCTGTTTGTGTTCTCCAGCAGTCTGAGTGTCCCGTCTGAAATGAACGAGCCCATCAATTCAGAGCCTCCAGCCATCAGATACATAAACATTTGAACACATGCCACTGTAGGAATGATGCTTATTAGAAACAATCAACAATATATATCATTGCATACCCTGGAATATAAAAAAAGCAACACTGTTGTGTAACACTGTTTTTGTATGTATATATACACACACTATATATATATATGAGTGTGTGTATATATACATACATAAACAGTATTTGATCAAATCAATAATTTTGGTCACCACCATGTATATATATATATATATATATATATATACATGGTGGTGACCAAAATTATTAGAACTTATTAGAATTGTAAGATTTTTAATATTTTACAGCAAAAACAGTAATATTGTGACACATTTGTACAATTTAAAATAACTGCTTTCTCTTTGAATAGATTTTAAAATGCAATTTATTTCTGTTTTGGTAAAGCTGAATTTTCAGCATCATTACTCCAGTCTTCAGTGTCACATAATCCTCCAGAAATCATTCATTTTTTATTATTATCAGTGTTGAAAACAGTTGTGTGTAAAATAAAATAAAAATCTTGATTATTTGATGAATAGACGGTTTTAAAAAAACAGCATTTCTCTGAAATAGAAAGTTTTTGTAACATTATCACTAGCATTCAAAAGTTTGGGGTCAGTAAGAGTTTTTTTTTTTATTATTATTATTATTCCTGGAAAATTGTATCATGGTTTCTACAAAAATATTAATCAACAAAAACTCTTTTCAACATTGATAATAATAAGAACAGTTATTTATAATTAAGCACCAATAATAAGTGATAATAATTCAGCCATAAATTAGCATATTATAATTATTTCTAAAGGGTCATGTGACTTGAGTAATGATGCTGAAATTTTTAAAAACTTTAAAACAGAATACAGTTATTTCAAATGGAAAATTACTATTAATATGTTTATTGTATTTTTGATCAAATCAATCAGCCATGGCAGAAACATGATCTGACACAACACATCATGTATCCTTTCTGAACATTTGTATTTTGTATTTCCCAAGATTTTCCAGTATTGAGAATGAGGAGTCAAGTGCCTATTTGGGCGGGGTCTGAGCCGGTCGGCCATGATGATAGGAGACGCTATCGGTTACCAGGGGCAACGCCTTTAGAACCCATAGACGTGACTAAACATTCCAGAGCTCTTACATTTTCGCGCATTTACTATTTTGGCAGGACAGAGACAGATCTAAGAATACGAGAAAAAAAGGAAGTAAAGCAATGCAAAAAGATAAGGCGAAAGAAAAGGGACCTTACAGGAACAAACTCACACAAAGTGCAAAACAGCTGTATTTGGAGAAGCAGCATCAATATATTTGTTCTTTTGCACTAATAACAGTATTATTATTTTATTATTATTACTTATGTTGTCCATGAAACTTATGTTGTCCAAACAGCCTATATATTTCAGTTCTCAATAAATATTCTTAAGCCATATCAAGTTGTTTCAAACATTTATTTCTATGAAATGAACAAGGCACTCAAACAACACTTTTGCATATGTTCGTTAAGGCACAGCAAACAGTGAAAATCGTATACTAAAGGCATCAGCAAACCTAGCAATCTGGCGTCTCCTCGTCAGGTCAGACTCTCCCTGCTGTGTCCATTTCGGTAACCCCAAAAACTTAATTCCATTGTTCCTATGTTTTCCATATGTATCGTGTGAGTTACTGGAGGAGTTTTTAAAGCAGCAGTTACTTCCAGACATGGTAAAACAGTGCGGTATTGCGAGAAACTCCTCTACCACCGAGCTAAAAACACACGTAATCAATACGATTTTGCCGTGGGAATCCTACCAACATGGCGGAAAGGGGAGGGGCACTGTAAAATGACGTCAACTCCTCATTCTCAATGCGCTGCCCATACCCCCCATAAACAGCCTCAAACCCGTTCTTCAGAGGTGACGTCACAGACGCTTTGTCCAAATTTTTTAGTCTATGGCCTGCACACCTGCTCGCGCAGACATCACAGCAGCCATGTTTTACAAGTTACACCTGAACCAAAACAACGAGCTTATGCTGCGTTCACGCCATAATTCAGAAGTAAACCTGTGACGTACTAGAGCGATTCGTGACTTGAATTTATGCATTTTAATGGCAACACTGTCAACGGCGAAATAATTCTGCAGCATTCAGGTGGTACAGGTACTTTTTATGTGCTTTGAGACATAAGGTACTTTAACGCTGTGTCTCGTGATGCTTTTGTTTGCTCCCTGCTGTATGCATTCATGTGTTTTGTAGGAAGCGTGGCTTTGCAAACGCTCTAAAGGGAGAGTGGAACCTTATGATTACAAAGCTAACTCACTATTGCTAGCCTAAAACTGCCTACCCTAACTTTAAAACTAAAAAATGTTACCTACCCCAAAGTATATATATATATATATTAGGGGTGGCACGGTTCACGAAACCAACGGTTCGGTTTGTATCACGGTTTTAGTGTCACGGTTTTCGGTTCTGTACGGTTCTTGTTATTTTTTTTTCTTTTAATCTTTAACACTTCAGAAATGTACTTCAGCATGTGATATATAGCTTAATTATCACTTTAGGATACAGTATAAAAAAATTATATTCATGCAATCATGCACAAACTGAATTTGACTCTTTGACTTTAAGCACATTTTGGGACTATCTCAGAGGAAAGCTAGGTGAGATTTTGACACAGCAAGAGAGAAGAAATTGACATGCTTTTCGTTTATTTGGCAAAAAAAAGGAGAACGTGTATCACTATGTCTACAAGAACTTGTGCATTTTTATCACACAAATCTTATTTACACAAAGAAATTAACTTGCATTTATGAACTGACAACTGTTGTAGCTCTTACAAAAATTCTATCTTTTAAAAGAAAAAAAGAGGAACTACACTGTCTTTTATGAATAAGTCAATATACATGAAACCTCATTGCCTATAATTAGGCTATAGAAATAGCAAAGGCCATAAACATAAAGTGAAAAGTTCAACCTCAACACAAAAAACAGTATCAACAATGCTTCTATTCCCAAAAAGTGAGGGTACCCTTTTTTCAGTTTAAATTAAAGTGCAGGATTTGGAAACATTTGACTGAAGCTCTTATCTAAACATAAAGTGCCACTGTAACGTTATATTAAAAACCATAACATGAAATCAAAAATGTCCCACACACCGGACTTATATGACTTATAGGACGCTGGCGCATCCTCCAACTCCCTCATCTCTCCCACTTGCCATTTCTCCGCGTGCCGTGACCTGCAGCGCTCCATACTCCACTTTTACTGGCTTGTTTACTAACTTGAACCGGCGCTGCACAGAGCGATCGGTAATGACATCAAAATACCGCGAAAGTGAGTGACGGAGCCGTCGTTCCCGCTCTAGTGTGATGTTATTCACCGGTCGCTCTGTGCAGCGCCGGTCCAAGTCGAACAAGCTTATGTCGCGCGAAAAGAAAACACATGTCACATACGGGCACGAGGTTACATTGCGCATGCGTCGAACCGTGAGACGCACACACGCTCCGAACCGAGACAAGCGAACCGAACGGTTCGGGTGTTTTTTCATGTACCGTGCCACCCCTAATATATATATATATTAGAACCCGACTGATAAAGGACTTTGAAGGCCGATACCGATACAAATATTTTTGGGTTTTAAAATCCGATATTCCGATATATCGGCCGATATATTTTATTTATTTATTTGAAACTGGACATGATAGTCACAAATTTTGTCATGCTTATTTGAGTTAAGAGAACTGATGGGGATGTTCTTTTAATTGTTATTCAAACAATGTATGTATCGTGACCAACTCAACGTGTGTTGCCAACAGGAACGGTGTAGAGTGCCCTCTGGTGGACAAACTATACAACTCCAACACTCATGACATGATTCAAGCGTGTTTCGTCCGTTTTTATTTTATTTTTGAAATATTCATTTATCGGCCATTATAACTGTCGATACCGATAGTCTGGAAAATGCCTAATATCGGCCGATAATATCGGTCTGCCGATATATCAGTCTGGCTCTGATATATATATATATATATATCCAAAACTCTGACACTGTTGAAGTGAGGTCTTCACAGATATCATGGTTTATATGCGTGTGTGTTTTAGGCCAGGAGCTGACGCGGCAGCAGGAGAGGGTGCAGATGCTGGAGGGAGGTCAACATCTGGCTCAGGAGCAGCTCTCCGAGCGTGTGGCTGAGGTGGTGCGAGCAGAGAAAGCCCAGAGGAGACTGCAGGCAGACCTCAAGGGAATAACAGACAGTCTGGAAAACACCCAAAAGGAGCTGCAGGACTCACGGTAAGCTCCAAACCAGGAGGTCTGCTTGGTCCAGTTAGCCCCTACTCGTAGATCCCATAACTGCACCATTATAGGGGTGGGCATTGTATCCATTCAAAAGTAACCATGTATTCTTACAGGTTTTTTATGACTCAAATCATTGTTTTAAAAATGGCTCCGTGGCCAGAATTGAACACCCGCGAGAAAAGTGAAGTCCTTGCATGGCCTGTTTTTCAGTGTGCTTGAATGCCGTTTGAGTGATTATTTGGACTGCATAGTACAGCATAGCTTTCCAAACTCAGTTCCTCAGGATGACACACTCATATCACACTCATATTAAGGCTGCTAGTGAAGCTATGAGCCGATTAATCCAAATTTCTCAGCTTTATACTGCCTTCAAGTCATGTCTAAATGATCGTATTTACCAGATGAGCGCACATGAACGCCACCACAATGCCAGTATTACCAGTGAGGAACTCTGGATTTTCTTTGAGTCCTGACTTTCCTACTTTTGGAATATTGTAGGAATATTCAGCCCGTTCTCATCCTTTAACGTCATATAGAACGCTATATGACAAAACGGCGCTATACTACGCACATAGCACCCGTTATCGTTAATATAACACGCTCTGTGAGGGCTAAGTTTAGGTGTGGGGTAGGGTGTGCGTGTCATATTCACGCTAAAGGATTTATAACGCCTTGGGTTCGCGTGTTATATTAACGATAACGGGTGCTATGTGCGTAGTATAGCGCCGTTTTGTCATATAGCGTTCTATATGACGTTAAAGGATGAGAATGCGTTGGAATATTCCTGATTTATACAAGCCAGTCTTTATGGATGGCAGCTGTCAATTGCCACATTAAATGATTAAGTAAAATTTTAAATTCATTTTTAACTACATTTCCCATGATGCTCTATGTAAGACCGAGACTAGAGTAGACTAGTTTTTTCCACTGGGAAATTGGTGAACCTTTAAAGACAGACCTATTGTGAGGTCTGAGGTTGATAATCAATGATAAATGCTTTCGTTGAAGTCATCAAGGTATATTATTTCAAGTTATTTTTTATATTGTTAAATAATAATGTAAATATTTGTATGCATAATATGCATATTTTTTCATTAAATGTTTATCTTTTTACTTTGTCATTCGCAATGCTTCATAGTATTGTAGTTCTTCCTCTTAATAGAGTGCCAAAGTTATCACGTCACTCTGTAGGCCAAAACGCAGAACTGAGTTAGCATTTTAGCACTCCCGGTTCCCTCGCTCTAAAGTCTATGGGATTTTTGAATGGGTTTTTGCTAAATCGCCTGAAATAAGGTCTGTGGTAAACAAAGCCTCTAAATATTTTCACATTTTCATCTATGACATAAAACACACAGTTATAACCTGCTTATTGTGTCTGCTTGTGTTTTTTAAAACTTTATCTAGGCTTTTTGGATTAACTTGTCAAGATTATCTTGACAGTCAAAACGTGTAAGGATCACAACTCTTTGTTGAACACAGATCTTATCTTTTGTGATTTTCCAAAAGTCTATAGGGAAAATACATTGTTTTTTGATCGAGGGAACCCATGCGCCGCTAACTTCCGAGCTGTCCTATAAAGTGACGACATCACTTCGGCACTCTATACACAGTCCCTTCAGGATTTCACGATTTTTTTTTGGTGATTTTTGCGATCAAAATGACTGATTTTGTGGTGGTAATTTCCAAAAATTTGTGAAAAAATTTGCGATTTATATTTAACATTTACCATAATAGTATTCAGTCCTTTCAGAAAAACGCAGAGTTTTTTTTTGTGATTGTTGCGGGCAAAAATTGATTGATTATGCCGCCAGTTTTCTTTAAAAATGCGATGGAATATGTGGGATATTTATGCAATTTTATGCGATGAAATTGCTGGAATTTGCAAAAATTGAGGGAACTTGCAAAAATTGCGAGTGTAAATAAGGTGTGGCCCCTTTAAGAGCTGCGCGCTCCCTGTTGAACTGTCTGCAGTGTTATATGTGCGCCTCGAACACCCCATGTGTGCGGGTAATTTCTGTTTGATGCTACTACTTTTATCTTATGTTGTTTATTAAGTAACGACGTGGCGGTAGAACGTGTGGACAGACAGTACGAGTTCGATTTGTGAGATATCAATCGCCTCCGTGAGTCTGTCTGGCGTCGCGTAATTGCGTCACTTCATAACGTTCCCATGGAAACAGGGGGAAATGGCTGCTCTTATGCGAAGCAAACGCAACATTTTTTAACTTTCTGCTAAGATACATGTGACTTTTTTTTGCAACGAAAATGCGAGGATTATGAAATTATGCAAACCCCGCATATTTTGCACAGAAATCGGCAATTTATGCGGCGAAAGTGCGGCGTATTTGAAAAAATGCGGCCCCCGCATAAATATGCGGACTTTGGCTGATTTTGCATTGAATTCAGCGATCGCATAATCGCGTTTTTCTGGAGGGACTGTATACAGCCATAATAAGAACACAGTCTTCCACCTTTTTATGTGTTTTTTTCTTACATTTTTTGCTTCAAAGTTGGTAATATTGTATTGTTCACCTTGTATCCATCCGGTTTGATTCATGGCTTATAACTCTTTAACAAAGACTTAAAAATGAATGGGACAAATACTTCTGGAATGGCGGAACCAATGGGATTGAGACCGTTTTCCCAATGAGCAGCTCTTATCCTGAGTATGTGCACAGTCCACAGCGCCACCGTCTCTGACACTAACCGAGTTTTATTAAGCGAAGCTGCAACTCTCAGGACGGTTCAGAGTGTGTTTTAGTCTTCATGACCCCTGACGTGCCGCTTTTACCTCCCGCGCTGCCCTCCTTTGAGAAAGTGTGCCGCTCAATGGAGGAATCACCGTGGGTCTGGATCCGTGTGTGAAATCAGATGTTTAACTGGCTGGAAGAGGACGAGCAAGCGCATCTTAACTAGCACCTTGCCAAAGGTCTCTTGTTCAGTCAGCCATCCGCTGGTGCGCAGCACAACTTCCCATCTGCCAATACACATTACAGAGGATTTAGTAATTAAGTGGTAAGTTGAGGACTAAATTGGGTGTTTGTGGGCCACAGATCTACCCCGAGGTCCCTGCAGCCATGCAGATAGGGGATTCTAATTGCTAGGGATATTGATCATTCCCGGCGAGGGCGCGCTGGGGGATTTCGCGAGCGATCGATTAGCTGTTACCGTGGCCGCTTCGCCAATGGCAGAGAAAGAGGTAAGAGAGCCACGTGGGTCTTTTGCAGGATCTCCCCACGCTCTTCACCTCTTGAAAAAGTGACACATCACCTAGTCAACCGCTCGCTTCGGTGCCCAGACACCCTCTGTAGGACCGTCCGCCACTTGTTTGGGTTTCGTCTGAAGGTTGAGGAGGGACGGGTTGGTCAACACCTCTCATTTCCGCTGCGATAAGCTGATTTGAGACGCTGTGGTGGGTCTGATTTGTTGTAGTAGGGTGTGATTTGTTGATCCATGCTGAAACGGTGCATGAGCTCATCGTCGCCCCGCTCTCGTAATTAGTCTCGGCCCCGCTCATTAAATATTCACGCTTGCCTAGTCTAATTAAATCGAACCTCTCTCTCCTGCTTACCATTCCTACATGTTACCATGCCTCAATTAAGATGCGTTCTGGCTTGTTTCACTGACTAGTCAAGGTGAAGATGTTTTCCTGTGGACTGAAGTGTCCCATTCGCTCATGCCCATACACAATCTTTTCTGTAATTAAAGATCCCGCACTAAAAAAGACCAAACTTGGCCTCAGACAGCCCTAAGTTCGTTCAATAATCATCTGATGCATATTGCACATAAGAATGGTTGGCTGCTAATCAACCCCTTGTGAAAAGGACAATTGTATACATTTTTAAAAAGAGAAATTATTATTGATATAACATACTATTAAAAGAATATACTTAAGTGTGAATGAATGTCATGTTTTCAGACACTTAAATGTATCCTGATTTCAATTAAACAAATATGCATTACTGTTTAGACCCACTGAAGTAGGACTGAACCAGAAATATGGTTACATTTTAATATCAACCCGTTCTCACAGGAATTCGTTCAGATTTTACGAGGTGGCTAATTCGTAACAATTCGTACGTGTGGGACCTCACTCGTACGAATTAGTATGATTTTTGCTAAATCGTACATATTTTACGAATTGGCCAATTCGTATGAATTCGTACGGATTACTTACCCCTGACTCCGCCCCTAAACCTACCCATCACGTGGGTTAGACAAATCATACGAATTCGTACAAGTGAGGTCGTATGAATTAGTTCAAATTATCCACTTTTTAATCACTCGTATGCATTTGTACGAATTGGTCGTGAGATAGCATATATATATATATATATATATATATGATAAACTAAAATATTCTACAGTTCTTGTATGTTGCATGTAGTTTCTATAGTAATAACAATGGGTTATGCAGAATTACATACATCTAATCCTAAACCAAACCCTTTGTACTTCAATGTATAATTGCACTGTAACACGGAAACCTTAAAATAAAGTGTAGCCATCATTTCTATTGAAATTGGTATGCCGTATTTAAATGTATTTGCAATTACGCATTTGTAATGATGGAATTGCAATTTAGCACATTTAAAACATGTTAACCTTAAATGTTTGATCAAATTACTCAGTACGGTTAAAATTATTATCAAATATTTGTGCTTTAATGTGTTATTCAACATAACAAAATAAGTGTACTTCAAATATGCCAAAGTTAACTTTTTAAAAGTTTACATACAAAGTAACTTAATTTATTTATATTATTTTCAAGTACTGTTTTTTTTTTATGTGCACTTAAAAAACTTAAGTGCACAAGTGAACATTCAATACAATTATTACATTTGCGCTGTATATTATCTGCCACACACTATCTGAGAGCCATGCTCTACTCTTTGAGCGACAGGAACAAAAAAGTAAACAAATTTAACAGGCGTTTTTTGAGGAGGAATTAATCACTGGATTTGTAAATGTTTGCAAGTAGCATCTAGTTTTTAAAATTACTTGCAAAGGTTTTTGGAGAGGGGGGTTGTTGGTAGCAAGTTAATTGGCAAAACTGTACTTTCTGTATCTGTAAAATAATGACTTACTAACTAATGAGTACAGAATTATGATTACAGTTTGCCCTTTTTTGCAGTTATTAGTTGTGTAATTATTTGATTACTTTTTTTTATTGTGATATCAACTATTTTAGATTTATCTACAACAAAAAACAATATAAACAGTGACTGATTCCTGTCCAGAATATGATTGAAAGTGTGCCAGATTTATACTAGCTGCAAGAGACTAAGCTTAAAGGCACCCAAAATAAAATATTATGTCATTTCTTATGTTCAAACCCATAAGACTTTTGTTCAATTTTAAACCCAAACCCTTTAAAGGAGTATAAATTCCAGTCTGGTTTATGCTGGTTTGGTAAGATCCTTCTTCCTTTTGGTCTTCCCTTGTGACCTAGGCCCTTGTTTACACCTGATATTAAGATGCGTTTTGATCAATCGTATCACAAGTTGACGAAGGAGACGCATTCCCTTTACACATGGAGTTTTAATCCGTCTTTTTTGCCACTTTCAACGATGTCTATCCTGATTTCTTCTAGGGGAGGGTCTATGGATGGCTAAATGTTGTTGTTTTTAATCTAATGGACACAATAAGCTTGTGCAATTCACATATGAACACAATCGGAGACGACGTAAAAACACACGTAGCGGATCAGTATTCATTTCTGCTCTGATAGACGCAAGACCAGCCAAACACTGTGAGTGTGTATTAGAAATCAGGAATTATGAGAGAACATTGTGCTTGGTACATTTTTTGTCTTCAAACTAAAATTGGGTCTTCTGCCGACAAAGTTTATATCCCGTCTGGCTAGAGCGCTTCCCATAATGTGTTTGCATTAGGTCAGTAGGTGGAGAGTTTGAATGCTTTTGACCACATGAGCGTTTACACCACAAAAGCAATCTTGTCTAATAAATTTTCGACAACCTCTGGAAGTGGTCGAAAGTGGACAAGCTCAAAACCGTTTTAGACCCCGTTTACACCTGTATTTAGCGTCGTCCACAAAACGTATTGTAAAACCAAAACATCATACACTGGTGACCAGCAGGATGGTGTGGTGATTTTGCTCCTTTATAGTGCTCTCATGTCAGGACTGATGGAGAAGGGAGTTTGGTGAAATAAGACTCGTGTGCTTCTCAATAGGAGGCTGGTAGAGCGCTTGAGAGCAGAGGCCAGCAGCAGCAGATCGGATGTGCTCAACGCTCAACATGAAGTCGGGAGACTCCAGCAGGAGAAACAGCAGATCCTGGATGAGCTGGACATCAGCAGAGAGACCCTCTCAGCCCTGCAGACTAAGGTTAGAGCCATTTCACACTGATTCAGGGCTTTAAACGGCAGGATTAGTAAGCAAAAGTGCCTCACAAAGCCCTCTGTAAGGTCATGATCTCCTGTATTGATCTGTATTGATCACTGTGTGCCAGAGGAACGGCGCAAGCTTGCATGTGTGTATATGGTGGATGCATTCTTATGTGTGTGTGTTGCTTTGTGGAAGAGCACAAGCTTTACATGTTTGTGTAAAACCTGATGATTGTGATCTAAAACTTTATTTGTTAGGTTTAAATTTGACTTAATTAGTCTTAATGTTCTTTGTGGTTTACATTTGCACATTACTGTAATGGTGTGAACAACACGGTAAACATTTTCGGACAAAAAATGTCAACCAAATCGTTTTGTTTTCAACTGAAAATTAATTGTAGCATCCTCAAAGTTGTGATAAAATTTAAGTGTTGCAAACGTGTACAAATCATGAGGATTTGATTGCTTCTCGGTGCTGAAGAGATGTTAGTCTGAAGCAAAGCTATTCATTCTAGTTGTAAATTTACTTTTCTATATTTGGAAACGTTCATAGATCTGATGCATAAGTCTCAGTAACAGTTTCAAATGAATCTCCCTAATCCCAGTTTAATATCTGTCACACAGGAGTATATCTCTAATTTAGCCAGCCATCTGAGTGAATATGTCAGGCGTGGAGCTCACAGTTTATATGTGATGCTCTGCACTATTATGGGGTCATATCGTGAGGATTAAATTATGCCTTGATATTTATGAAAATAAAAGTGTTTAATGCCGCAGCGTAGCCACAATGGGGCCTTTGGGGGGAACTATGCCCCCTCATTTACATATCCCCCACATTTCTGGTTGTTTAATAAAAAAAAAAAGCTAAATTGTTACTATCATATATTGATTGATCATTCAAAATGCTGTGCACTAAAATGCAATGGCTGTTTTCAAACTGGTATTATTTTTGTCACTTATGCGGTCACCTTTCCAGGACGATATCAATACTGATTAAAGGATTACTTCACTTTTTAAAAACTTTTGCTGATAATTTACTCACTCCCATGTCATCCAAGATGTCCAAGTCTTTCTTTCTTCAGTCGAAAAGAAATTAAGGTTTTTGATGGAAACATTCCAGGATTTTCTCCATATAATGGACTTCATTGGGTACCAAACGGTTCAAGGTCCAAATGAGAGTTTCATTGCAGCTTCAAAGGGCTTTAAACGACACCAGACGATGAATAAGGGTCTTATCTAGTGAAACGATTGGCCATTTCAAAAATAAATAACAAAGTTTAAGTTTTATAAGGACAAATGCTCGCCTTGCTCTGTTTTGTGATGTGCATTCGTGAGTGACTCTCCTGTTTGAACTCATTCATCAAAATGAACAAATCTTTTTCGAGTCATTTTGTTCATTTAGATCGTTGATTGAACCAAATGACTCAAAAAAAGATTTGAAGAGTTCAGACGCAAAAGCCTCTAAGTGCCATTTGAAATTTTCTTCTAGAAGGATCATTTTTATCAAGCTTGTATATTTAAGTTCAGTGATTTCACTTAAATGGCAATGATAATTACCTATTAATTGTTATTTAAGTAAAATTACTGAACTTAAATATACAAGTTTGATAAAAATCATCATTAAAGAAGAAAATTTCAAATGGCATTTAGAGGCTTTTGCATCTGAACTCTTCATTTGTTTATCATCAACATCAAGCTAAGGGTGCCATGTGAACACTGGTGTTTAATTTGAAGAAGCATAACAACACATTTTCCTTAAACGTCTGAATAGTTGAAGATGGTCACTGTTTCTCTTTTTTAATGGAAGTTTGAACACTTGTCTTCCCTGTAAAAGATAATAAGTTCTTGCATTCAAAGACATTTCTTAATATATTGAGAAAAGTCTTTCGACACAAGGAGCCATAGGCAGTGTGATCATTAAGTTTTAAATTGTACTCATGTTTGGGTACATACATACTGCCTGGCCAAAAAAAGTTACTGTTTGGATTTAAATAGCCAAATGCTATGAGTGGATCATTTTATTGCAGTGATTATTATGTTTCTAGCGTTTGGTTCTTCTAACACTAATTGATGGAGTGTGTAGATTTTAATTTCTTAAAAAATCCAGACCTTAAATTCATTGAAAGTCTGGATTCTGGAGTCTTGCATTGTCAATACATGATCTTTCTTGACCAAAAATGGATTCAGCTCTTGATGAAAATAACATCTTGACATTTACTTTTCAAATTAAATTAATCAAAATTCTTGTACTTTCCGAAATCCATGGATTTATTCTGATGTCAGCAAGAAAGAATGAATTACATTTAATACATGTACACATCAACACTGCCTGTTCGATGTTCAGAAACTTTACCCACCAAGCAATAAGAAATCAGAATAGATGCTATTGTTTTTAAAAATGGGGGAAACTAATAATGGAACAAAATATATCCTAATAATGTACTTCCCATTGAAAAGTTCTGAAAAAGATGACCCCCGTCATACACCTGTTTGCAATGGCAATAAACAGTGATATTATAACAAATTAAAGGTAAACCTGAATATAGATATAGAGAAGGCCAGCTGACAATCACATTCTTTAATGATATTCTTCATCTATGTGTTTGTGTAGCTGTGTGAACAGGAGAAGCTTATAAACACACACCAGACTCAGCTTCAACTGTGCAGGAGACAACTGGAGACCAGAAAGGACCAGGAGCAAAAACAGCACCAACAGGTATTAAGGGAACGCCACAGTCCAAACTGCTGCTGACATGATTTCTAACCCTTCCGAAGCTGATACAAACTGGTGGTTGATTTAGGAGGGTCAAAGTTGGCCATACTGATTAACCTGGGAAAATGAATGTTTGAATTCCTCTTTGTGATATTTTATGATGACCTACTACACTAATGATAAAACTTTGAGATTCGCAAGATTCCTTAATGTTTTTTAAAATGATCTCTTCTGCCGTTCAAAGCTGCTTTTATTTGACCAAAAATATAGTAAAAACAGTAATATTGTGACATATTATTCTCAAGTTTCTGAATGGCATGTAAGTCTGAAGTAATGAGTTTAGGTAAAGGGAGCAGAGCCAGTGATTGTTCTGTAGGCAAACGTCAGTGTTTTGAATTTGATGTGAGCGGAAACTGGCAAGTAGAGGATTTGAAATGATACATGTCTTTACTGTCACTTTTGATTAATTGGATGCATCCTTGCCGTAAAAATTCGTACTAACCCCAGACTTTTGAACGGTAGTGTGTGATAAGTGCTCTTTGGCTCAGATGAGCAGTCTGCAGGCTACAGTGACCAGACTGAAGCTGGATGTGGAGCAGGAGCGGGAGAAGTGGCGTCAGGGGGTACGAGAGGCAGCCAAGGCCGATCAGAGAGGCAGAGAGCTGAGACTGGAGCTGAGCACCGCACAGGCCACTCATAAAGAGTACATGGAGATGGTACGATCTCTTCCACTGCCACAGACAACGTGATCGCTCCTAACACACAAATATCAACATGCGGTCTGCGTTTTGCAGCTGGCGGAGTACAGTGGAGAGGTGGCGTCCCAGAGGAGTGAGCAGGCCCGTCTGCAGCAGTTCCTGATCCAGCTGACGGAGGAGAAGAAGGCTCAGGACGAGCGAGTCACACAAATGAGTGCAGATCTAGAGAGACTGCACAGTGAGAGCAGGAGCTCTGAGGAGAAGGTATGAAATTGGGATATACTTTTTTTTTTTTTTTTAATCCAAAAGCAATTTTCATTACATTCAACATTGTATACATTTTTATTATTAGTTAATGCATTCCCTGGGAATGGAAGCCATTATCTCCCGAGTATTGCTATACTTTCATTGCTCATTACTCGTGATGTTTTTTTGCTGCTTATGTATTGTAGATGTATATGTATGACCTTAATTTAAAGGGATAGTTCACTTTGAAATTAATTTTTGGTATGTTTTAGCTTACCTCAAGGGCATCAAAGATGTAGTGTCTTTGTTTCCGCAGTAGTTTAAATTTGGATATTTTTAGGTCAAACCGTTCTTGTCGGTCAGTCATATAATGGAGGTCTATGGTCACCACCTCAAAAAGCATGCACAGAGAAGTCCAAATTGAACATGATTTAATGACTCGTAAATGTAAGTACACATTGATGGCCTAAGACACGAAACGAGCGGTTTGTGTGAGAAAACTAACAGTATTTATATAATTTTTACCTCTTGTAACCACAGCAACAAAGCGCCCGCGCCCTCAGATCACTTGAACGTGGCATTTACGAGTCATAATTTGGACTTCTCTGTGCATGCTCTTGGAGGTGGTGACCATAGACCTGCATTACATGACTGACAGACAAGAACGGTTTAACCTAAAAGTATAAAAATTGAAACGTGAGCTAAAACGTACCAAAAAATTAATTTCATAGTGAACTATCTCTTTAATTAGAAATGGAATATGCAAAAATGCTGTTCCAAAACCCAATAAGACTATTCATTTTCATCTTCAACAGAAATTAAGTTATTTTCAAAGTGAGAGATTTTTGTCCCTCAATTGAAGACCCATGCAACTGAAACTTTTCTGCTTCAAATTTTTCATAAAGACACATTAAATAATTTATAACAGTCGAATCCAAGACTTCCGAAGAGCCCCGATTGCTTTATAAGATGAACAGATTTAATTAAGAATTTTATTCACATATAAACACATTCATAGAGCACATCGCAAACGGTCATCATCATATAAAGTGATATTATCTCTTTACAAGATTTGGATGAAACTGCTCATTTCATATGGACTCGTTTTACGGGAGAATCCATATCCCATAAGAAGTTTTGGTTATCTGGAATACAAAGGAGGGAGAGAAACCTCTCAGGTGTAAATTTAAAGTCTTCTGGGTTTGGAATGACATGAGGAAAAACTCCTTTTAAAGGGAAAGTTCACTTTGAAATACATTTTTGGTATGTTTTAGCTTACCTCAAGGGCATCCAAGATGTAGGTGTCTTTGTTTCCACAGTATTTTCAATTTTGACATTTTTCAGTCAAACCGTTGTTGTCTATCAGTCATACACTGGAGGCTAAGGGGGTCCACCAAAAAGCATGAACCGAGAAGTCAAAATCAAACATGATTTAATGACTTGTAAATGTAAGTACACATTGATGGCCTAAGACACGAAACGAGCGGTTTGTGTGAGAAAACGAACAGTATTTATATAGTTTTTACCTCTTGTAGCCATGACAAAATGATCTGACGCCGGAAGTGATCGCTTGCGCGCCTGCATCACTCTTTGTTTATACAGAGATTTCGGAAGTTTTACCTTTCACTAAACATATTTAGATATACGGGAAACCGCAATGGAAGACGATTTCGGTATATCTAAATATGTTTAGTAAAATGTAAAACTTCCGAAATATCCGTGTAAATATTGAGTGACGTCACACGCAAGCGATCACTTCCGCCGTAACATTGAATTGATTCAGTTCGGTTCAGTTGGACATTGCACAACTGATTCAGATCACTTGGACGTGGCTGTGATTACACGAGGTAAAAACGATATAAATACTGTTCGTTTTCTCACACAAACCGCTCGTTTCGGGTCTTAGGCCATCAATGTGTACTTACATTTACAAGTCATTAAATCATGTTTAATTTTGACTTCTCGGTTCATGCTTTTTGGTGGACCCCCTTAGCCTCCAGTGTATGACTGATAGACAACAACGGTTTGACTGAAAAATGTCAAAATTGAAAATACTGTGGAAACAAAGACACCTACATCTTGGATGCCCTTGAGGTAAGCTAAAACATATCAAAAATTAATTTCAAAGTGAACTATCCCTTTAAGTACCTCCTAAATTTATAGGGAAATGGTTGGCTAATAATGTTTTGAAATCTACCAACCCAAACCTAATCCTAAAATCTGATCCGTTGATGAGAATGTTGAATGGAGTTCTCGGACTTTGTTAAACCCCTCTGTGACACCTCATCCTGAAGTGCCTGAAATATGTGCAAAACTCCAGTGCTCCTGCAAACAGTGGAGTTATTTAAACCACTCGCTCTCATTCTTTAAGTGCTGTCAGTGTTGTTGGGGAACTCTAATTGGTTTTTGATAACCGTCCTCGTCATTTTATGGTCAGCAAACTCTGCGGGATAACAATAAAACTGAAAAATAAAAATTTGAGTGTCTGCACACTGTCCAGACCCTAATGTATACATGCACACACACACCGGTCGGACTGCAGAAATAATGATTATGCGCGTGTTGTGCATCGGTTGTCTGTTTTCAGCTCTGGCTTTTAAAAATAATTGCTGTTGGTTCTGCAGCCGTATCAGAGGAAGGCCAGTAATGATTCTCGCCAGTCGTGTGGAACGCGGCACGCGGGGAAGCGGGGCGAGACAGACGCCAGAATAAAGGCGGCTATCATTTCTGTGTGTGTGTTTGTCTGCCTGGCACATAATTATGGTTGCATAAGCTTGTGTGTTTGTTGGTAAAGGTGCTATAATTACAGTGAGGTGTGTGTGTTTGCAAATATTCTCCAGCCCCTGTTTATAAATCAGGTGTGAATTGAAGAAACTGATGAGTCGAGAATCTCATTTGAGTGTGTGTGTGGGATCACAGAGGGATTAGAGTTGGATATAAAGCTGCACAGGTGACTACATCATAACCCACTTACACACATACTCACACAGCATTTTAATTGTCTTTCTCCTTTTCTTTACCGCCTTTTATTAGCTCTCGTCTGCAGTGTGTGCGCTCTGGGTAAAGGTCACTGCGCTCCACCATCTTGCACACTGACAACTAGCCTGCTTTTTAATTTAATCTGAATTCTCATATGCTGAAAACCTGAGATCTCATATGAGGTAAAATTGTGTGAGCTGCTATAGATTTGAGTGTAATAGTGATTTGTTGAGGGATAGAGATTTTAACGCAGCTGAAGATTGTCAACGCTTATATATATATATATATATATATATATATATATTGTGTTCTTTGCCTGCAGAGGAATATTATCAACATATTATAAACCCCAAATGTGCGTGCGTGTGTGTCTGTGGCCTGGTAAACCCTGTTATTGGGATACAATTTCCCCACGAAGATGGTAATATCTGAAATCCTTGTCCTTGTGGGAACATTTTTTAACCCCTTGAGGAAAACAGCTTTTTAAAAATGTGAAAATATTAAATGTGAATATTTTCTGTGATGTTTTTTTTTTTTTGTTTGTTTTTACCTTCAAATGGTCTGGGCTTCGGGGTCTATACGAACCCCGTCAATTGATTGAGTAATTGTACAAAATATATACATTTTTAATCATACAAATAATATATCTTTTGTTTTCTTTACTTCTCATCTATTCATTAATGCTGTGTTTTTGGAGATATAAAGTACTTTTGTATCCATATACCACACAATTCCTCAACTACACCATTAGCTTGCATATGAAATATAATTTTTTTTATGATACATTGCATTTATGCTCTAGTACTAAGCCTTTTTTGACACATGAAGAAAATATATTTAGTTTTTTTTCCACATTTTCCATTCATTTCAATGTGGGGTCATATTGACCCCGAAGACCAGAAGTGTAAACACACCTTCAGAACAACCAAATCAAGCCCAGTTTTTTTTTGTGTGTGTGTGTGTGTGTGTGTGTATAGATAGATAATGTATGAAAAGTCACAAAATCTTATTCCACTGAGATGAAGGGAACCTTTTTTTTTATTATTAAGTAAAAGTCAATTGGGGTCGTATAGACCCCATGACCCGATTGAGGGCTACAGAAGTCTCTTATGCTCACAAAGGCTGCATTTATTTGATAAAAAACAGTGTAAAGATGACATTGAATTATTTACTTAGTTGCTATAAAGCTGTTTTCATTGTAGTAGAGCGACCTATATTTTAAAATCTTAATTATTCCAAATTTATATATATAGAGAGAGAGATTATATATATATATACTGATACTCATACTGATACTCATTACTTTATTATCAAAAATACAGTAATATTGTATTTATATGTATTATTTAGTAATATTGTGAATTGAAATCTCATTATCATTGCAATTTAAAATAACTGTCTTGTATCTGAATATATTTTTCAAATGTAACGTATTTGTGTGATGCAAATCTAAATTTTCAGCATTATTACTCCAGTCTTCAGTGTCACATGATCCTTCAGAAATCATTCTAATTAATATGCTGATGTGCTGCTCAAGAAACAATTATTATTATTTTTCAAAACAATTGTGCTGCTTAATATTTTTGTGGAAATTGCGATAGAATTTTTACATTTATTTGACATAGAAATATTTTGTAATATTTTGAATGTCTCCATTGTCACTTCTGATGAATTGAATGCATCCTTGATGAATAAAAGTATTCATTTCTTTCACAAAACGGTAACACTTTACTTGAAGGGGTGTGCATAAGACTAACATGACACCTTCATAATCATGGCATGACATGACGTATGTTATGAATATGAAGGAAGTTTTATGCATGTTTATGACCGCTGTCATTAAGTGTCATTCGCTCAATTATGACATTTTGAATGCAAATATGACATTGTTTGAGATGTCTTTGTCCAATACACCATAACCTGTCAGTGTCTTTGTCATGGTAACTTGACATTACTAAGACAACACAACCTGTCATAAACATGATTAATTATCAAACTTAAGAAACCACCTAGCTTTATTGGTTAACATTACATTAAACTGTCATGTGGTTGGTTTTGACATTGGCTGTCATGAAGTCATTATAACTTTTAATGACAAATCAAATTCAATTAGTACCACTGTAGTTGAGGTGACGAAACATATTCATGACACAGTTATAATGGCCTCATGACAGCCAATGTCAAAGCCAACCACAGGACAGTTTAACTTAACTCAATGTCAATTTGTCATGACAAAGACACTTACAGGTTATGATGTATTGGTTTATGTCAAGATGTCATATTTGCATTCAAAATGTCATTATTGAGTGAAAGTCACTTAATGACAGTTGTCATAAACATGCATAAAGTCTACTTCATATTCAAGACATATGTCATGTCATGGTTATGAAGGCGTCACGCACACCCCTTCAAGTAAAGTGTTACCCAAAAAACAAAGCCAAAGCAGTGTTTTGAAACTAACACAGAGCCACGCTGTGAGTCAACAAATAAATGGCTAACGTCTAGTCATATTCCCCACATATTATACATTATATTTGAGATTTTAACATCAGCAAAACTTTACCTTTAATTACGGCCTATTGTCTCTGTCCGTCAGGCTCGTGCGAGTGAGGCGCGGCTGGCGGAGCTGCACACACAGCTGTCCCGCTCTCAGCAGAGGACACAGGAGCACATGAGCGTCCTGCGGGACAGAGAGGAGGAGGTGCTGCTGCTGAAGATGGACATGGCCGCTCTCAGAGAGAACTACGCTGAGAAAGTGTCCCAGGTCAGCCACAGTATCCTCACACCATTCATACTGTATCATTCTGCTGTGTTTGTGTTCATTCATGTCTTCATGCGCAGGTTGAGGCTTTGCACTCACAGATGGACAGTGTTGATCAGAAATATAACGCAGCTGTGTGTGAAGTGGAAGTTTTGCGGCAGTGTTTGGGAGACGCACGGAGTGACAGCTCTCGACTTCACAGGGAAAGTGAACTCGTCGTGACCAATGTGAACCAATGGGTAAAGGAGCAAAAGTAAGACATGCAATCATTCCATACCACAGCACTTCACAAGTCTAAAAAGCTAAACACACAGCTGTCTGGAATACTTGATTCTGATTGGGTGACTACTCTACAATTATTCAAATATTGTTGCATACTGATCACTAAAGTATACCAAGCAGTGTCATTATTGTTAACTAAAACTATTAAGAATTATTTTCAGTAATTGAAATTGAGCTGATGTACAACTTTTTTTTTAATTGTTAAGAATATATATATATATATATATATTTATAAACAATTGTGATGCTTAATTTTTTTGTGGACATCGTAATACATTTTTTTGCAATTCTTTGATGAATAGAAATAAATATTTCATAACATTGTGAATGTCTTAACTGTTTCTTTTGATCAATTTAATGTATGCATATATGCATATGTATTTGTATATATGTGTCTACATTGTATATATATATATATATGTGTATATATATACAGTATATATATAAATATATATACATATATAAAATATTACATATACATATATATATATTATATATATATATATATATATATATATATGTGTGTGTGTGTGTGTGTATACATGCAACTAAAAATGAAAATATGAGAAATATCAATAATAACAAATGCACATTATTTACAACTTTGAAAATCAGTTTTTACAGTGTATCTAATTTAATGTCTCTAGTATCCCTCCACTTCCATCTTCTCACATTTCTAAATAAATTGAACTCAATTCAATATTTTATTTTATGTCCATTTGTGAATTCATATTTTGTAAATATTACGTAGTTTGTAAGGAACCGTGTAATTAACAGCATTTTGTACAGTCAGTATTGTAAATTAAACTCCATTATACCTATCCCTTTTGGTGTTTGTTTTGCAATAATGACCAAGCTGTGTGTTTTCACTTGCGTAACATCAAATCTCGTTTCTTACTGCATAACATGTCACAGATTGTATCACATGTTACAGTGTTGGAACCAGTATATACCTTTACAGAGTTTAGAAAGTGTCTGTGGCGCATCAGAACTTTTGCATCCAGTGTTATAATGGCTGTATCATTATCATTCAGCATCATGGTTTGATTGTGACAGCAGCTCACAGCTTCCTCACTGCAGCCCATTATCTGTGCCCCTGCTCCTCTCCAGGCACACTAATGAGAAACTGGCACTCAAGATCAAAGACCAGAGCAGGAAGATCATCCACCTGACAGCTGAGAGAGAGTAAGCCCCGCTCACCCTGTCCAACGCTCCTCTCAGCTCTGAGTGTGTACAAATATAAGTTTAGCTTCAAGTAGCAGGGAATGTGCATGCAAACATATGGAGAAATGGGTGTGCTTGTGTGAAATGGGATTTGGCTGTAATGTTTGTCCTGTTTTCACGCAGTCACCTTCAGGAGAATGTGAAGGGTTTACATGGGGAAATCAGGAGGCTGAATGCAGAGCGACTGAAGGTAAAGCCCTAAACACACTCCAGCGCACATGTCTATCGATTGTTTTTTAATCCACATCAATTTATGAAATGGAAGTTTTGACTCCATGTTGTGACAACAAGTTTTGAGCAAGAAAAAAAAAACCAGGTGGGGCATGAATTTCTGAAAAGTGAGCATTGCATAGAGGAATGGAGGCGGATCTCGATGCGATTGGCTTAAGTGCAGCATGGCCTTGTGTACATCAAGGATGTCGAACTAGTCATAAGAGCAAGATTTTGACAAAAATTTTCAAATTTGTAATATACACTCACCTAAAGGATTATTAGGGACACCTGTTCAATTTCTCATCAATGCAATTATCTAATCAACCAATCACATGGCAGTTGCTTCAATGCATTTAGGCGTGTGGTCCTGGTCAAGGCAATCTCCTGAACTCCAAACTGAATGTCAGAATGGGAAAGAAAGGTGATTTAAGCAATTTTGAGCGTGGCGGGGTTGTTGGTGCCAGACGGGCCGGTCTGAGTATTTCACAATCTGCTCAGTTACTGGGATTTTCACGCACAACCATTTCTAGGGTTTACAAAGAATAGTGTGAAAAGGGAAAAACATCCAGTATACTATATAGTTCAAAAGTTAAAGTAAACTGAATTGATTATAAGTGAGTCAATTCTAAATATTTCTATTTCAAATTCTGATCTTTTGATCTATAATAAAATGTATCACAGTTTCAGCTCTGCCATCACAAAAATGAATTGCCTTTTAAAATATATATTTTAAAAATAGTAATATTGACACATTTTCACTGTATTTTGATCAATTAAATGCAGCCTTATTGAAAAGCTTACCGATTTTACTAACCCCAAACATTTGCACGGTGTTATATAAATGCACAATAACATTAGTAACGTGTTAAAATAAATCGCTTTAGATATTAATAAATAAATATCAATTCTGATTTCATGCCGACTTCAAATTTGATATGAAATATTATAGTAATATGTAAGGAGAAAGTGTACATCTCATATCCTATCATCCATTTTTAGTCATTTTTCATTCACAATCATTGTTTGATTGATTAACTGACGTTAACAGAATTTTAATAAAGTATTAGTAAATGTTGAAATTAGCATTACATTAATAAACACTGTGTAAGTGCAGTTGTACAGTGTTACAAAAACTATTTTGTCATCTGCCCTGTAGCAGGTTCTTATTTTTCATAATTTATTTTATTTGCAAAGATCAAGTGTATTTCACTCGTATAGTTACAGTCGTCATTGAGTGCATATTAACATTCACCTTTGTGGCTAACAGGCCGAATCACATTCTGCCCAAAATCTTCCGTATAAACAGGTCTTATATGCAGCTTTTGCCTCGAATCACCTGTCCAGTTTGATCTTTCTTCTCCTCCTCCTCTTATATTTCCTGAATGACCCAATACTGGCCATTTCCTATTACACCTCTCCTTTTCATTATTTTCCTCCATTCTCTGTTATCCCGTCCTCATGCATAGCATCAAGCGAGACCGTCTTTGTTGTGATTAGGTTGGTATTTCTATCAGATGCAGAGAAAAGGTGTCCTATAACCACAGTTGAAGGTCCATGTCACCATTAGCCATCTCATTCTGGAGTGCCCGTCCTCTCGCTGCCGAATGATCCGGCTCTGTAGGTACAGGCTTATCCTCTGTAATAGGGTCTGATCTGATTCACACTTGTGAAATTGGAAAGGAAAAGTTTAGAGATGATTGAGAACTTCGGCCACGGTGGAAGCCGAGGGCTGGAGCTGCGGCTCTGAACCCAATCATTCAGGCATTGTTGACCGTGCTGATGAGCCCGTCCTGCAGGGTGGAATCCATTCTGCTCCCTGTTTGTTCTGAAGGTCCAGAACCTGCTCCACATGCCACCTTATTCCATTATTGATGATAGAGAGAGAGTCAGAGGCCTGACTTTACAGAGTTATACTACTTCAGAAGTTTTATTCAAAGAGAAGTTGAAGAGCTGGTTTTGTGACCCCAGAACGAGTCTGGACTAATAATGCATACAGCGGTTGTTGGTTGCATGTTCTCTCGTATGGAAACAGCTCACCCAAAACTGAATGTTCCTCATGTTGTTCCAACCCTCTATGAGTGCCTTGACACACAGAAGGTGTGACATGTTCTCCGTCAGGTTTGATGTCAGTGATATTTGGTCTTTATAGTCCATTGGAGATCTTTGGTGGGCATGAAGATTGTCGGTGAATAATAACTTCAATTTTAGTCCTCGCATCTATCATGTGACTTGGAATAAATCTCCACATATATTAACATTGATTAAGTACACTCATGATTAAGTGTCTGTTAAAATAACAGATAATTTGACCATTTTGTTTCAATTTCAAGGTTAGTTCAGTTAAAAATGTCATGTGGCGCGACTCCCGAAAACAACTTCTTTGATATTTACTTTTTATGAAAATATTGAAAAGGATGTGTGCACTTGTGTGTATTTAAGGTATAATGAATATTTTGCACTTGATGGCCACACCACATGAATTCACTACCAAGTATTTTGTAACAGTGTTATCTTATTTATATACAATTATAGTATGTATTCATTTTTTGAATTAGCATTTATTTATATATTTTCAGCTTACATTTTATCTATTTAGCTTTAATTCATTTTTATTGCAGTTTTAGATTTAGTAATTTTAGTACCTCGACTGAAACTGAATTTCAGTTATATGAGCAACATTTCTCATTTTCGTTTAGTTTTTATACATATTTCATTTCAAATTACAAAAAAAATGTTTTAGTTATCAATAATATCTAAGAACTTGACGACACGTGTTTTAAACTAGATTGTCAATACATTTTACTTTTTTCTTCATCATGGGCACTCTTTACTTTGACCCATTATTGACCCATAAACCATTATATGGTGCTTTAATTATGGTGCTTTTTTCATATTTATTCAAGTTAACTATATGGAAAAGAAGGACCAAGATATTCTTAAAAAAAAAAATCATTAGTAACACTTTAATTTAAGGTGACAAAGCTACATTACTACATGTACTTACTATAGTAATGACTGTAAATTATAGTCAAATTATAATAATATGAGAATGTATAAAAACTAAACGAAAATGAGAAATGTTGCTCATATAACTTGAGGTACTAAAATTACTTGAGGACATAAAAATAAATTAAAGCTAAATAAAAGTATTAAAAATTAGTCAAATGTAAGCTAAAAATATAGTAAGGACATGTAGTTAATTAATATTACTCAGTACTTGAGTAAGTTCAATGTCACCTTAAAATAAAGTGTAACCTATTTTTCCTGGTTTACAGGGAGAAAAAAGTATGATTTGTAATAACATGAGGGTAAATAATGATAAAATTTTGGAATTTTGAATTTACCTTTGAACACTCTAAAAAATGCTGGGTTATTTCAACCCAAATTTGGGTCAAATATGGACAAACCGAAATGTTGGTTTAAAAACGTAATTAATAAAATGTACTGTTGAAAGTAAAAGTTGAAGTTAGGTTAAAATTTTACATTACATTTTTGACCCAACATTTGGGTTTGGCCATATTATACCCAATTTTGGGTTTAAAACCATCCAGCATTGTTTAGCGAAAACTAAGTTACCCAAGTGTACATTCTTGTTGATAGATGTGAAACCACTTAAAAGGACAAACAACAAGCACAAGTTTGGGTAGCAAAGTGAAGCTCAACTAATGTTCTTCCAGGACACCCCAAGTTCCTTCTGGACTCTAAGAGAGTCAGAGTAAATACAAATAAATAGACAGGAGAGGAAATGGCTTGTAGCATGTGGATTATTTATGACATGCCAGGCTCCTTCTGCATGCATGGATTCCCAGCTTTCATTAAGTGTCATTACTAGAGCTCTTAGGCCAGGTGTGACCTTACAAATCTGCTGAGACCTGACATCCAGCCCGGGACGGGGCAACATGTATATGGATGGACTCTTGCATCCTTTGGATGAGCATATTTGGCTTTTAGTAAATACATAACAGTACCACTGCTTGATTTGTTGTGATAAATAACTTATAATAGCCTCAGTGGCTCCATCAGAAAGGGACGGCCGTGTTTATTCCGCGGTGGAGACGGGCATATATGGCTGTGTTTAATGGCTGGCCTTGATCAGGATGTTTATCAGTGCGCTCTGAGCTTTTTTTTCTCTCTCTCTAATGTATACGTTTTTGAAGAGAACTAAAACAGACGCTTTTACAAGACAACCCCCCCCCAAACCCTGCTATTCATTAGCAATTTCCACTTTCCAGTTCACTTCATGCAGCGTCCTCTGATTGATGGAAAGCCTGCCATGTTTATTTGGATATCAGGGAATGAAATATTCATATTGTACGCTTTTCCAAGCAGAAGTTATCTGGGTGCAGCGTAAATGGTACTTGGGATTAGATTTTCACAGCAGATTGCAGTTATTAAAGAGCAGAAAAGGAGGGGGATACAGGGAAGCTGCCATCTTCTGGGGAGGTAATCTATTTCTTTTCACGCAGACTTGGAGCGGCTGCATAGCCTCTTAATGCACTGGAGCAAAAGTGCTTTGGTCCGCAACCTTTCACGCCTTCCTCTCCCTTTTATATGATTGAATACTTAATAACTTTGACTTTGCTTTGAAAGCCTGCGCCATGGGGCCTTTTGGGGTTCCTCGTGGTGGGGCTGCTGGTGTACCTGAGTGTTTGTCTGCTGCTAACTGCTCTTATTAGCGGCTGTCTGTCAGCCTTTTGCCCACAGCTCATCCAGAGTCATTTGTGTCCTCTGATATTAAGATAAAGAGTGGGAGATGATGTGCAATCTGACTTTTAGGCTGTTTTCACACTTAAGCTGCTTTTTGTTGTTGTTTTTTTTGATATCTTATGATTGTACAATGTGACAAGCAACAATGTGACCCCAGTGAGATCTTGGGTAAAAGCCTAGGCAGACTTTGCAAAATCAATGGTTTGTTATTCAGACAAGTCTGGTCACAATTGACAGGTTTTTTCTAAGTGATCAATCACTTGATGTTCT